TTTTTGCTGTAAACTGAAATGTAGTCAAATTATTGGGCATTTCCCCCTCACTTTTCCACTCTTTTCTAATGTAGCCTTGAAGAAAATTTCAGTTGTGACAAAATATATTTTATTGTTAAACATAAAGAAACAAAATCAAGATAAGCACATGAATACAATGGGCCAATGGCCATATGTCTTTATTCCTATAAAAACTGTGTAGTGATATCTATACAAATGACCAAAAACTAAGGTTACAATAACAACCAAAAACAGTAGCAGAATGACATTTGGCTGTTAAAACAGTTAACACAAGTAGACTTGATCCACTTCATTCATAATTAAACAAAAGTGAGCGAATAAAAGAACAAAAGCCATAAATAAAAGTAACTGCGCTTTAGTTTATTTCACAGATATTTGATTCCACTCTTTATTTTAGGAAAGCTACGTCAGGAATCTTTCCTTCAGCCTGGAAAGAGAAAACAAAAGGAGATATTTCAAAGCCATGGCCTCACAATAGTGTTTCTATGTTGATTTATAGACAGAGCAATTATTATTATTATTATACAATTTAAGTTACCTTCAACTGAGTAAAGATCTGCGCTGCTCTGTTGAAGTCCCATTCATTGTCTTGTAGACACCTGTTAAAGATGTATGTTTAGATGTTTAAATACAGGATCATACACAAGACCACAAAAAGATATGTGCAGGAAACAAAACGTACTTCTGTGACCACTCCAGGTTCATGCCAGACTTCTGTGAGAAAGCTGTGAGCATCTCTTGCTGCTGTGCAGTGAGGGTGGGGACAGGGCTGGAAGATGGAGTCGGGGCAGGAGCCACGAAGGCTCGGCGGATCTCCTCTGTTGTGGCCATTCGAATGAAAAGCTGGTCGTTGACAATGCACAACCTGTCACAAAAGAACCACACAGAAAACATAAGGATATCTGGTTGTTTCTGTTATACACAGGAGAAGCTAAATGTCCTTTTTGTTTGTTGGTACAATTTCTCATTAGGTTCATCTGCAATACAGTCTGCTGTCAGGCTCTAGCAGGAGACGCACGCATGTAATATGTTTGATATATTTAACTTGACCGTTATGACTCTCTGACTCTAACACAGCGTGTTACCAATTTCATGAAATACACATTTTTCTCTAGTGATTGGTGGGTGCCAAGTTGTTGCAGACTGGTCTCAAGATGCAGACTGAGGCATAACAATAAACAAACACTTCGTTATGCACCACGGGAAGATCATATCAACCACCGGGAGCTCAGTAAAAACTCACCCAGAATTTCCTGCTGGGACTGTGATGAAAACTCGAGAGAAGGCCATTGTGGATTCTCGCGATTTCCCATCAACAACAACTGAAACAGACAACAGATAGACAACAAATTAGTAAAGAAATCAACACGTATGCCCCTTTGTTCAGAACCAATTCTAAAACTCTGACTAAAACAGCTCACCTTCTTTAAAGACTCCACTCACTGTGAATGACAGTAGTGTATTCTGTAAATGGAAAAGATGTTTTGAGAGAATTAGAACAATAAATTGCTTCAGAGGAAAACGTCAAGGTGGATGACAGAATAAAAACCCACCGTGTAGGTGTTCACATCAATCGTAAAGGAGGCGATGTCGTGCTGAGTCTTTGGTAGCTCGTTGAGGAAAGCCACCACGTTCAGTCGTGTATGCTTCAGCAGTCGAAAGCGTATCGCTAAAGAAGTCAAAATTTGGAAAGGGAAAACATGAGGAGACGTCTCAAATCCCGACAACCTCAATTTAGAAAGTGAAAGATACTCACTGGAGTCTTTGACTCTCTTCAGGTTTCGACTGTCTTTGTAATACTCTCCCAGACTGCTCCTAAACAGCAGAGGGACAAACAGACTCAATGTTAGGGGTGGACACAGAAACAGCAACCCATGCAAACATCTTGTCAATGAAAAGCTTAATTCTGCTTTGTTGATGAAAACACCCAAAATATATTAATCAGAGTAGTAAGTTATCTACAAATGTGCTTTTGTGTCCTCACCTGGAGGGGTTCTGGGTGGAGTAAGGTGTTGTGATTGATAATGATGCTCCATCATGATAGGCATCAAGGAGCGGCTGTCTATCCCCCGAATCATAGATACTGTAGTACCTGCAACACAGTCACAAGCCATGAAGTTAGTTTCTGTGTTTGTCCTTTTCCCCAAAAAACTATTTCCTTAAAAGCTAATTAAAATTAACAAATAAAAACACTAATTGTTCAGTGGGCACATTATCAGTGCACCAACTCTAAAAAATTGTCAGGGTTTTCCTCATTACTAAAAAAGGAAAAGGAGAAACTTACTGTTGCAAGAACCGAAGGATGAGCGCCTTGATCTCATCGGAGCCAAAACAGCTGCCCTGGAAAGTCACACAGGAAAGCATTTGTACAACGCAGATTAAACTAATTTAGTTAACAGTAATATAGACACAATGCTGAATATCAGTGAGTAAAACTATACATTCAGCTAACCTTGCAGGGGGGAATAGTGGTGGGCGTTTCCACATCAAATCCAATCGGTGGAGGGAGGTCATGACCATCCTAAAGTGAAACACACAAAATTATCGTAAACGTTTAGTTTAACATCAATAAAGCAATACAAAAACTAAAATCCGGAGATGTGCGTATCATATGAAAGATAATGACCATTTTAGGGTTTCCCAGGGAACACATGAAACAAAACTACTCTGATCATTTTTCCCATTTCGGCCGAAAACAATAGAAATGAAGAACACCAACAGATTCTTCAGAACATGACATTTATTGGAATATTCAAAAGGATTTTATAGCATCTTTAGTTAAAAGAACAACTAAATAAAGGAGAATGACTTCAAAGATAGTGAATTTTTGAGATATAAATGTGGGAACCTACCAGTCTGAGAAGCCGGGGAAACCTCTGGCGCACAGCACTGGTATGGGAACAAAAACCAAGAGCAGGAATGTTATCGTCACAATCCATACCCATACACACACACACACAAATAATGTTCATTACTGTGGGTATAACTGACAGTCACACCTGCTGATCCACTTAATGTCATTTTGTGCCTTTCAGTTGAATTTTTAGGACACTACACTTTGAGGATGAAATTTAAATGTTTCATTACAACCAGTGTCACAAAGGATTTAATCTTCTGTGTGTACAAGGAAATCCACAAATCAACTTAGCGTTTTCGTCCTTCTCATATTCTTTGCTGTGCTCTTTTGAAGTTTCCCGCACTGAAGTGTACTTACCAGCTGGTATACTCACCCTCTCCCCCATTTTGGTGACATACACAGATCTGACAT